CAATCGTGGCAAAACGCCGTCCTTTCATGGGCCTCTTCAGTTTTGGGAACAAGAAGAAGTCACAGGGGACCAGATCTGGGGAATACGGTGCCTGTGGCATCGTTACTGTGTTGGTTTTAGCCAAAAATTCGCGCACAAGCAACGATGTATGAGCAGGGGCGTTATCATGGTGCAAAGGCCAATTTTTATTTTTCCACAAATTCGGACGTTTCTGGCGGATTGCTTCGCGCAAATTGCGCATAACTTGCAGGTAATATTCCTTATTTACTGTTCTACCCTGTGGCAAGAATTCATGATGCACCACGCCCCTGCAGTCAAAGAAAACTGTAAGCAAAACCTTTACATTTGATCGAACTTGGCGTGCTTTTTTTGGTCTTGGTGATCCAGAATGCCTCCACTGGGACGATTGAGTCTTAGTCTCGACGTCATAACCGTATACCCATGTTTCGTCACCTGTTATAACCCTGTTGAGAAAATCTGGATCATCGTTGACGTCATTCAGTAGCTCTTGGGCGATGCTCATGCGACGTTTCTTTTGGTCGAAATTGAGCAATTTCGGAACAAACTTCGCTGACACACGTCTCATGTCTAAAACACTCGTCAAAATTGATTGGCACGAACCAAATGAGATGCCAATATCATCAGCAATTTCTCTAATGGTAATTCGACGATTTCCCAACACTATTTTCTTCACTTCATCAACATTCTCATCAGTTGTTGATGTGCTGGGGCGTCCAGAACGAGGCTCGTCGTCGGTGTCTTCTCGGCCTTCTTGGAAGAGTTTATACCACTTGTAAACATTTTTTTGGCTTAAAGTAGATTCACCGTATGCCACTTTCAGCATTTCAAGTGTTTTGGAACATTTGATTCCATTTTTCACACAAAATTTAATGCAAACTCTTTGATCCATGTTTTTAGACAGCAGCAAATCGTGGAGCACGCAAAACACTTCTAACCTTGATGCCTCTCACAAACAAACCAAACATACTACAAAGCTGAAATTTGGAACGTATGTTCTAGATGAGTGTACCGACATAACCAAATAAAAAAGTCGAAGATCGAACGGACGTAGCCCGCTAAATTTCAAAATTTACCTTACTTTTTGATCACACCTCGTATGTATACGTAACCTAGATTATTACGCGAAGCGCAGTCATTTGCTGTAATTGAATGTTTATAAAATTATTTCAATTTTTTGATAAGAAATATTTTATTTTTTTCAAATTTCATATCAGGGCAAATTAATTTGTGTAATGAACAATTAAAAAAAATTTTTATATTTAAGAAATATTCATTTTTTACTGACCTATTAGGTGTTAGACGTCAGCTATCTAGCATTTACCTTAACATTCAAGTCTTTTCCAATAAGAGTCTAGTAGTTAAGCTCATTTTATGTATATTTATATGATTTAATATTCTGATATAATTGTTACTTCACCTGGTGATGAATTCTTGTGATATGAAGGTATTTGAAATCAGAGTTAGATGCTGAATGGGTTTTATTCACTTTTATTCATTTTTATTTATTCACTTTTATTCATTTTTATTTATTCACTTTTATTTTCACTTCTGACTTTTAAATATGGATTACAGATACCTTTTCATTTATATGATTGTCACGAATATATTTTACTTTACGCAAAATTATTGTAATGATAATAGTAATAATGTACCGAATTGTCAAACTGGCGCGGCACGGAAATCCGAGGTACAGTATTGAACTTTAACTCTTACGAACTAAGATGCAACATATGCAAGGTTTTTTTTATAGTTTCTATATTTCATCAATCATTTTCGATATTTGCAGTTTAGGTAGTATTCGCTTACTACATCGCAATTTGCTGAGTACAACGTTTGTTTTGCAGCGCAATCATTTATGGCGAGAGTTCATGAAAGTTCAATAATTTCTTGCTGATGTATACAAAATTTGGTTTCTTTAAGAGCTTGAATTTCGGAATTTTATGTGCAACGTTAGAAGTTGAAACTATCCAAAAATACGTTGTTAGATGTGACAGACCTATAGTTGAATTAAAGTTAATACATAACTTTTCATCTTGCATAAATTTTTTTATTCGTATGCGAATGAGGCAAACTATTTAGAATACATAGAGCAGCTGAGCAAAATCATTCAAATTAAAAACTATTTTTGTTATTTAATTTTGATCATTTTCGTGAGCTGATAGAGGGGTGGTCATGTGAAGTGTTATTCATCTACAATAACATACATAATTAACTGGTAACAGTTTGACATTTTGAAGTGAATAAAAATGCACCTAAAATATAAGAATACATATCAAAATGTAACCATTGTAATGTTTCCTTGTTATACTGCTCCAACAATTTTTTGATGACGTCATTCGTTAGCGAACTGGATGCTATAATCACATTCATGATTTTGGAGTAACGTAATTTTACACAATCACAACATATGTATATTATATGCACAATAGAAAACAGTTGGTACGATATAATGTAATTTAAAAAACGAATCGTAACACAGATAATCTTACAAAATAATATAGTACGAACAAAAATACTTACACAAATATAGTAACCGCAATGTACTAGCTATATAAAAACTGAAAATGAAGTCTAAACAATGAAATATCGAAATATCATCTGAAAACAAGGACAATATCAAATATTTCCGATTCAATACAGCCTTCATTCCATTGCGCATGTGCAGTGTGTGATTCGTAGAAGCAGTATAACTTTTTAATAATTTTCATATAATAAATTGATTAATTGCCGATGCATTAATCAATTTACTGTCATAAGGTAAATTAAATCAGATGATGAAAAAATTTTTGTTACTTCTGGAATTAAAAAATATTGCATAATAGTCGAGATCTTCACATTTGAATTGGTATGCGATACAGGGAATAATTATTAATTTTTGCGCAAAAATTAAAGATGGGCAAATGAATTAAATAATGTAATCGAATTGGGCAATTAAAAAGCTATCGATTTATGTATCTAAACATTTTATGCATTAATTATACAGAACGATTGGGGGGGGGGGGGGCGGTATCGAAACACTACCCTGAATAAAAACCATGGAGACCAGTGTGGAGTTTCGATAGTTTACCTCGAGAAAAAAAGGGCCCTGAGCTCCGAGTGTGCAGCTCATTTCAGTGCGTACACCAAAGAGCTCTTTCCTATTCCGCTCGTTCCACCATCCCAGTCATTAACATTATATACTCATGTCAAATGCAAGCATTTGCATTTTAATTTTTGTTAAGTAAAAAATAAAATACAACAGAATGGACTAAATTTAAATATTTAAATGTATTTTGCATGTATAATGATAGAACCAATAAGAAAAATACTATAGCACTTTTTCAATTCGAAATTTTACATTTGTTTTCACATAGTAATATTAAAATTCTAATTTGTCATTATTATAACTATAAAATGTAATGTTTTGATTGCAATTAAAACTTAAAAAGTAGTTTTAAGCTATAATATAACAATATAATTTTTACTTTAATATATTTCAGACTACAAAAAATATATACGAATTGAAAATAACATTACTAAAGGAAATATTAATATTAGGAATAAGAAGTAATTATATATATATAAATCAATGGTTTATTTAATAATAACAAAAGCATTATCTTTTAAATGCAGATACATCTTAACATGAGAAAAACGTCGATATTAAATCAATATAACAAAATTGTTGATACAATTAGTGCTTCAATAACATCAATTAATTTATATAATATATTATTATATATTATATATAGTATATTATTATATATTATACATAATATATTATTATATATTATATATAATATATTATTATATATTGAATATAATATATTATTATATATTGAATATAATATATTATTATATTTCAAAGTAATGCTTTACATTTACGTTTATGTATCGCAATGATTTTTCGATGTTTCATTAATAAAAAAAATTAATTTTACAAGACAGATTTGTTATACTTTTTGTTTTAATTTGCTATCGTGATGTGCATTCATGAAAAAACTAGAGGTTTTAAATGAAAATTTCTTAAAAGCAAATGTGCATAGTTACGAAAAATTAATAAAAATATAACAACAATAAATTAACTTGGACTAAACAAGAAGCTTTTTACGTTTCGTCTAAAAATTGAGTTGAGTTCTATATACTTACAAAGAAATCTTTCCGTGCCAGTTATGAGTTTTTAATTGTCTAAATGTTACTCAATCACCATTTTATTTGCAGTAATTAAAAAATAATTAATTGATTGAATTAATTTGCCCACACAATATTACTGCAAATTATACACGATACTATAATGTAGAATTTGATAAAAACACAACAAAAAATATAATTAATTATTTAGCCGAGATTTACGTGTCAAATATGTCAATATTATAATATTACACAAAATATGTATAATTTTTATGAACAAAAAATATTCTATACATATGTCTATTAAAAATAAGTTACGATTAGTATACTTAGAATAACATAAAAAAAAAAAACAAAGATATCTTTCGATTGACCTAACCCATATGTTAAAATGGATAACAATTATATGTTTGTAATTAAAAAATTAATATCAGGAAGAGGTTTTTGTACATAAAATTATACGTTCATTTCCATAAACCACCGTAAATTTATTTAAAACATTGTTAAAACACCATTTCTTCAATTTAAAATAATTCCATGCATGTAAATAAAAATCATAAAATGACATGCATATACAAATTTTGATTATTCTTACCACTATCAGTTTAGCCTCGATTTTAAGATGAATAATAATAATATTCCACCTGAAAATGATTAATAAATGCCTTCTAAATGTCTGAATTTTACTCGTAAGCTCAGCTCATGTAATTTCAGAGAAAAATAGTAGCCTGTGACTTCGCGCCAAATTGCACTTGAGAGCGAGAAACATGGAATGAGAGGAATAGAAAACAGTTGCTCGGTAGAGCGTACGGAAGTAGGCTGCGTATACAACTTCAGGGAGCCTTTTTTCCAAAGTAAACTATCGAAACTCCAGCCTGATGGAGACTGTCTCCATGATAAAAACAAATGTAATGGCATATTTTTCTGTCTATTCAGGTTTATTACAAGAAATATTAGTGTAAATTATTACTTAGCTCGGTCCAGCGCCATTCTAGAACTTCAGACATGTGTAGCTTTTGCATAAATAATTACGAAGTATTTTACAAATGATCAAATCACTAAACCGATGGATGTCCAATTTGCAAAGCTGTCGAACTCAAGCTTGTAATCGTACTTTGTTAACTAATAATATTTTAAACGAAATGGACTGACGATGGTAATATCTTGACTTATTCAATTCGTATATACATATGAACTCTTATGTGACAATTTTTATTTTAGGAAAGTGGATGTTCAACTTTTAGGAAAAAACTAATACTTTATGGATATTTATAGTTTCATAATATGTTTTTCAAACAATTTTGAAGAAGCTGAATTTTTATTAAAAAATTTCATTTAGTAGTCAACTAACTATTTGATGTATCTTAATTAGAACACATGTAACAATTCAGAATGCAATATAACATTAGAAAAAAAAAGTTATATGAAAATTATGGTTGGCCTGATAATTACACAGATCATTCATTCTTAGAAGAACTTCGTAAAAACATTAAACCTAATTCTGTAACTATAGATGAAGCTATTAATTTAGCAGCAAGTATTTCAACACAACTGAGCATGGTTATATTATTTGTTATTATATTTATCTGGTTAAATAATGAATGGATAACTCCAAATGTTATTTTTGTCTCAAGTACATTTCTAACAGTGGTTGGATATGTAAGGTACATCATCAAGACTTGCAAAGTATTTGAGAAAATATCAAAGGATTTACGAACAGTACTCATATTTTTGACATTTGGTTATATTTTATCATCAGTATTGAAAACTTTAACTGAAACTATTAGTACTGATACAATTTATACAATGACTGTTTTTATGTTTCTGATTCATTTAATATTTAGTAAATATGATTCAACCAATATATCCATTTCAGAATCATTATCCATAACATCTTCCATTTTTGGATCGCTCATGTTGACATCCAGATTATCTACCCCTTTACATGCATTTTCTTTACTTACTGTAGCAGTTCAATGTTTTGTATTACTTCCATTTTTATTATCTAAGCTTAATTATAAACTTTTCCTGTCAATTTCATTATTGTTTGGTACTTTATTTATGATGTGGCAAATATCACCTATTTTATCTTGTGTGTTTATTACAATTACGGTTTTTGTACATTTTATATGTCCTTTATGGTATATCAAATGGCAAAAATATAAAGAAAACATCTATGGACCATGGGATGAAGCAGTGATTGATTCTTAAAAAAAGAAAAAAGCTACAAATTAATTTATTATTCATTTGAAATAAAAATCAATTAGAGCATTGAAAAATAATTAGTCATTTGTAATTTTGTACAATAATCAATTATTGTATAAAATTATAAAATCATAATGTTATTGTACAAAGTTACCTTAAAAAATAATTATTGAACATAATTAAAAAATAATTAATAAACTTAAAGTTTTATAAACATAAAGATAACATTTGTAATCAATTTTGAGTGCATAAAGTGCTACGTTTTATAAATAAAATTGTTCCAAAAATATTCTTTTTAGAAGTTTTATTATATGATAGAAAAAATATACATTTTTAATATTAAGAAAAATGATATTGACTGTTACTAAGTGACAATGAATTGCAAAAATCTTTTTATTCTTCTAATAAGTGACTCAATGAAGGTTTGATCTGCTATTGAATATTCTCTATGTATTTCTAAAAGTTTTGTAGCAAAACTATCTGTGAAAATAGACACAAGCCCTTTTTTCAATTCTGGAAACGATTCATTCAACTTTTTTAGTTCCAGTGAACTATCATCCAGATTAACAGAGGATACTAAAATGAATATTTAAAAATATAATACTTCTTAGAAATATTGATGATTATATTACTTATTGTTAAAATATACTTACAATGTGATTTAGATTGAGCTACTGTTTGTATAGTATAGAAATCTAAATGACTCCAGAGTATATATAAACTATGCTCAATAATCAGTGAAGCATATTTCATATTCTGGCGTTTTTCTTTCTCTTGATGATAAATTTTTTGTTCAATTATTATTCTTTGTTTAGTTATATCTAACTCAATTTCTTCGTCATTTAAATACTAAAATAATGTAAAACATATTTAATTTGCTGTTTAAGTAGTATCAATATTATTGGCAAAATTAAATATTTAAAAGTGCACTACATAAATAAAATAATTTCAATTGATAAATATCCAAATACATGATAATAAGATTCATAACAATTTGAACTCTAATAAAAGCAGTTTTTTAGGTATTTATAGCTAGGGATAATTGGCATAATCATTTTGTACAAAGGGCTTGCCCTACCCTTCTATAGATATATAAATCAACATAAATTAATGGGTCAAATTTGTTTCAAAGTTTAACTGCGAGAAATGTTCGCAACTCGAGAAGAAAAATATAAATTGATAGTTTTTATCGATCAAAGTACTATGAATGCATTTCAGATCATGCAGTCTATTAGTTTTTTTTAAATAAATGTTTGAAAATAATGTTTTAAAATATATGTCATGTCAATACGTGACGTATCATATAAGCAGTTATGTGTGTGTGTGTGTGTGTGCGTGTGTGTGTGCGTGCGCGTGCGCGCGCGCGCGCGTGTGTGTGTGTGTGTGTGTGTGTGTGTGTGTGTGTGTGTGTGTGTGTGTGTGTGTGTGTGTGTGTGTGTGTGTGCATCCATATTAGTAAACCATTTTTGTACCTTGAACTAACTGTAGTACCAACGGTTGTAAAATTATGTACTTAATTGATATAATGTATTTGTCATTATTTATCACCTCCCTTACCCTAGCCTGCAAAGTGTAATGGACAGTAAAAATAAAAAATACCATTCAAAACATCTCTAATTGAACCCTCCAAAAATGCTCATTATTTTAATTGAACCCCTTCAGTTGTCCCAAAAAAAATTAAAAACTATGATAATTTTTTCGTTTTTTGTAACTGCGATATCTTTAGTAATACTTAATATTTTTGTAAAAGAAACAAGGCAAAAAATTGAACCTTTGCTCGTTTTAATTGCACCCCTCTCACTTTTTCAAAATTATTAATATATATGTCAAAAACAACAATCTAACTTTATTGTATGTTCTTTCCAAATAACCCAATAACCTAATAATCTATTTGAAAAGAACATACAATAAAGTTAGATTGTTGTTTTTGACATATATATTAATAATTTTGAAAAAGTGAGAGGGGTGCAATTAAAACGAGCAAAGGTTCAATTTTTTGCCTTGTTTCTTTTGCAAAAATATTAAGTATTACTAAAGATATCGCAGTTGCAAAAAACGAAAAAATCATCATAGTTTTTAATTTTTTTTGGGACAACTGAAGGGGTTCAATTAAAATATTGAGCATTTTTGGAGGGTTCAATTAGAGATGTTTCGAATGGTATTTTTTTTTTCACTGTCCATTACACTTTGCAGACTAGGGTAAGGGGGGTTTATTTATCGCCGCCTTTGGTTGAGTCCGCTACCGATATGACAGAATACTATTTTTTTTAATATAATAATTTTCCAGAAATATAGTTACATTACGTTATCAAGAGTTTAGTCTAAACATTTTATAAATAAACACGTCGTCTTTATAAATTAGACTAAACTCTTGATAATGTAATGTAACTATATTTGGGCGATAGATATTCGTGAAAACAAATTATTCTTTTAAAGTAAAAGTGGAATTAATTACACAGATTTTGTGAATAAAATATTTGTACAGAAAATACATTTAATAAGTACGCAATATAATAATTATACTTCCATTTACATCTATTCTCAGTTTTTAGAAACTAGCAATGAAAATGTTCATCTTTTTCAATAATTAATATATCATACTCTTTTGACATAAAGAAATTTTTTGAAATGTAACTCCTAATAGTTAGAAATAGATGTTAACTAATATTTCAGTAATACAAACAAACTTCATTTTTCAAATTTTCAATTTTTTCTTATAGTAATAAAATCATACACTCTGTAAAGAAACACGAATAAAAAAAAAAAAAAAAAGTTAAAAAAAAAATAAAAAAGAAAAAATAATAAACAAAAAACATGAATAATTTAAATCATTTTAAAAAACAAAATTTTAAAGGTACCAAAAATTTTTCTTTGATTTTGCGTTACTAGAACATGGCCTTGAGCTTTAGCTATTAATCGTTACACATTATAAAAATTAAAATGATTTTTTTAAATCTGTTAAGAAAATAACATTTTAGCTACTTGACTAATAGTATTTTACCACAGATTGTCTTAACCCTCTAACGACGAAAAACCTTATTTTCTAAGCATGTTTTTGATCGCAAAATTCATTTGTAAAACGAAAAAAAATTGATCTGAGGTATCTTTCCTTATACGAGGTGTGTTCAAAAAGTAACGAGAATTTTGAAATTTCGCGGGTTTGGAGAGTCCGCTAGTATAAATTTTTTTTTTATTATGTTGGTACACATGCCCCTGAAGTACGATAAAATTTTCAGCAATATTCATTGCTTACTTTTTAAGTGGCAGCCGCTAACGTTAGACGTGTTTTTCGAGCTCGGCGATTTTCGTTTGTGAAAAAAAATGGATCAAAGAATTTGTATTAAATTTTGCGTAAAAAATGAAATAAAGTGTAGTAAAGTTTGTCAAATGTTAACAAAGGCATATAGTGAGTCTGCTATGAGTAAAGCAAGGATTTATGAGTGGTATAAGCGTTTCCAAGATGGCCACGGAAACGTTGAAGATGACGAACAACCCGGACGCCCAAGCACATCAACAACCGATGAAAACGTGAAAAAAGTGAAAGAAATGGTTATGAACGATCGCCGAATCACAATCAGAGAAGTCGCTGATGATGTTGGCATATCAGTTGGCTCATGCCATCAAATTTTTTCGAATGTTTTGGGTATGAAACGTGTGGCAGTAAAATTCGTTCCAAAATTGTTGAATTTCAAACGAAAACAGCGGCGAATGGAAGTTGCTCAGGAGTCGCTAAATGAAGTCAATAACGATGCAGAACTACTAAAACGTTTTATAACAGGTGACGAAACATGGGTTTACGGATATGATGTCGAAACTAAAGCTCAATCGTCCCAGTGGAGGCATTCTGGATCGCCAAGACCGAAAAAGGCTCGACAAGTGCGGTCGAATGTGAAGGTTATGCTCACTGTATTCTTCGATTTTAATGGCATAGTGCATTATGAATTCTTGCCACTAGGTCAAACAATCAATAAGCAGTACTACCTACAAGTTCAACGTCGTTTGCGTGAAGCAATCCGAAAAAAACGCCCGGATTTGTGGCAAAACAATTCATGGCTTTTGCACCACGATAATGCGCCTGCTCACACTTCATTGCTTGTTCGTGAATTTTTGGCCAAAAACGAAACTGTAACGATGCCTCAGCCTCCATATTCGCCAGATATGGCTCCATGTGACTTTTTTCTATTTCCAAAAATAAAGAGAACATTAAAAGGCCGTCGTTTTACAAGCATAGATGACATTAAAACCAAATCGCTGAAAGAGCTAAAAGCTATTACAAAGATCCAGTTTCAAAAGTGTTTCGAGGATTGGAAAAAGCGTTGGCATAAGTGTATTGTATCCGAAGGGGACTACTTTGAAGGCGACAACATTAATGTAGATGAATAAATAAATATTTTTTTCATAAAACGAAAATTCTCGTTATTTTTTGAACACACCTCGTATATGAGGAAATACATGTATTTCGGCGTGCTGAATCCAAATCCGAGTTCAAAATTGGAAGTTTTTTTTTACAAAAAAAAATATCGCGGTTTTTTTATAAAAAATAGTGAAAAATTGAAATTCTTTCTTTTTAATGAATTTTTTTTCTACCCCTAAACGCATCAAAATCGAAATCTATCTTCAATCATGGGTGCACAAAATAGTTGAACTTTAATAGGACATTTTTATATTTGAGCTTTTTTTCAAAATGACGGATAAAATGTCCAAATCTGAAAAAAATACTTTTCTCGTTACAATTTTTTTTTATAAAATAATGAGGTTTAGGAAAAAGTTTTATAGAACAAAAGTGTCTTATAATTCTTCAAGGAATACTTTTAAATTTTTTTCAGAGTTTGTGGAGAAAATTTTTGATTTCAAAAAACCACAAATTTGAAATATCCAAAATTATTTAAAAAAATATAAAAAAATTAGAGAGTATTCTTTGACAAATTCTAAGACTTTTTTGTTCTTATAAATTTTTCCTCTAAGCTTATAGTTTTCGAGAAAAAAATCATCAAATTTGTGCGAATTCTTTTCAACCGTTTCAACTTTTGAAACTTCCCAACAATTTCGGGTCCAAGCGTACGGCATTTTCATTCTCCAAGAGGCTCTAAATACAGAAAATGACCTGAATGCCTATCAAATATGCCTACTTTCAGTTTATATTGAGATATTACTTTTAGCGCAATCTAGAGACAGTGGCGTGGACACGGTAAAATTTTGTCTCCTTCGGGCAGTTTGTTTACGAGAGTGGTCCGATAAGTATTTAGCTTACAAAAGAAAAACGAAAATTTTGGAAAAGTGGCGTTTTATTTTTCAAAATAGTCTCCTTTTAGTTCGATACACTTGGCCCAACGATGCTCCAACTTCTTTAACCCATCTGAAAAATACGTTTCCTCGAGGTCTGAAAAGTACGCTTCCGTGGCAGCGATTACCTCCTCATTCGACTCAAATTTCTGCTCGGCGAGTGACTTTTTCAAGTTTGGAAACAAAAAGAAGTCGCACGGGGCTAAATCTGGAGAATACGGTGGATGGGGCAGCAGTTCGTAGCCTAATTCGACCAATTTGGCCATGGCGAGGCGGAGGTGTGAGCCGGTGCGTTGTCATGGTGGAAGAGCACTTTCTTTTTCGCCAAATGGGGCCGTTTTTTCTGCAATTCGACGTCGAATCGGCCCAATAATTTGGCATAGTACAGCCCTGTGATCGTTTTACCCCTCTCCAGGTAGTCAATGTAGATCACATCTTGTGAATCCCAGAAAACGGTGGCCATCACCTTTCCGGCCGATGGGGCAGTCTTCGCCTTCTTCGGAGCACTTTCGCCGGGTAAAGTCCACTGTTTCGACTGTTCCTTGGTCTCTGGTGTATACCAGTGG